AACCAACATTTAACAGTAATAACCATTAATGTAAATGGTCTCAATGCACCAATCAAAAGAAACAGACTAGCAGAATGGATCAAGAAACAAAATCCAACCATATGCTGTTTACAGGAAACCCATCTAACCCAGAAGGATACTCACAGACTGAAAGTCAAAGGATGGAAAACAATTCTTCATGCAGCAGGAATCCAAAAAAAGGCAGGAGTGGCCATTCTGTATGCAGACAACGTGAACTTTAAACCAACAATGACCATAAAGGATAAAGAAGGTCACTACATACGCGTAAGGGGAAAACTGCAAGAGGAAGAGATAACTATCTTAAATATATATGCACCAAACTCCAGAGCACCCAGTTATATAAAACAATTATTAACAGAAATGAAAACTCAAATTATCAGTAACACAATTGTAACAGGAGACCTTAATATGCCATTGACACCAAGGGACAGATCAACCAGACAGAAAATGAGCAAAGAAATAACAGAACTGAATCATACCTGTGAACAAATGGATTTGATAGACATATACAGAATGTTCCACCCAACAACATCAGAATACAAATTCTTCTCAGCAGTACATGGATCATTTTCTAAAATACACCATATATTAGCTCACAGAACATATTTAAACAAGTGCAAAAGAGCTGAAATCATCCCTTGCATGTTATCGGATCATAGCGCTCTGAAATAAGAAATTAATGATAAAAGATACTGCAAAAATCCCACAAACACATTGAAACTGAATAACACACTCTTGAGTAATCAGTGGAAGAAATTAAAGAAGAAATTAAAGAAGAAATCAAACAATACCTACAAGAAAATGAAAATGCAGATACAACTTAACGGAATCTGTGGGATGCAATGAAAGCCGTCCTGAGAGGAAAATTTATTGCACTGAGTTCCCACATCAGGAAAACAGAAGGAATACAAATAAATAACTTGATGCTACACCTCAAACAGCTGGAAAAAGAAGAGCAAGTCAAGCCCAAAGCCAAAAGAAGAGAGGAAATTATAAAAATCAGAGCAGAAATCAATGCAATAGAGACTAAGAAAACAATCCAAAGAATCAACGAATCAAAGAGTTGGTTCTTTGAAAGAATAAATAAAATCGATAAGCCCCTAGCCAACCTTTTTTAAAAAGGGAAGAAAAAGCTCAAATTCATGCAATAAGAAATGAAAAAGGAGAAATCACTACAGACCCAATAGAAATACAGAAGATCATCAACACCTATTTCAAAAACCTCTACTCTCAAAAGTTTGATAACACAGAAGAAATAGACAGATTCTTAGAAGCATATGAAGTGCCAAAGCTAGATCAAGAGGATGTAAAACTGTTGAATAACCCAATCTCTGTTACTGAAATTGAAAATGTAATTAAGTCCTTACCCACCAAGAAGAGCAAAGGCCCAGATGGATTCACTGCAGAATTCTACAAGAAATACAAAGAAGACCTAATGCTGACACTCCTCAAACTATTCAATGAAATTGAAAGGGAAGCAATGCTTCCTAAGTCATTCCTGGAAGCAAATATCACTCTAGTACCAAAACCTGAGAAAGACCCAACTAAAAAAGAGAACTATAGACCGATCTCCCTAATGAACACAGATGCAAAAATCCTCAATAAAATATTGGCAAATCGGATCCAGCAAATCATCAAGAACATTATACACCATGACCAAGTGGGATTCATCCCAGGAATGCAAGGATGGTTCAACATACGCAAATCAATAAATGTAATCCACCATATCAATAAAGCCAAAAATAAGAATCACATGATCATTTCTATAGATGCAGAAAAAGCCTTTGATAAGGTCCAACATTTATTCATGATAAAAACTCTACAGAAAATTGGAATAGATGGTCTTTACCTCAATATAATAAAGGCCATTTATGACAAACCAACAGCCACCATCATACTAAATGGCCAAAAATTGAAAGCCTTTACTTTAAAATCGGGCACAAGACAAGGATGTCCTTTATCACCACTCCTATTTAATATAGTACTGGAAGTACTAGCCAGAGCAATTAGGCAAGAAAGAGAAATAAAAGGGGTAAAGATAGGAAAAGAATAAGTTAAGTTGTCATTGTTTGCGGATAACATGATACTCTACATAGAAGACCCCCTAAGCTCCATTGAAAGACTCTTAGATACAATAAATAAATTCAGTAATGTGGCTGGATATAAAATCAATACTCAGAAATCAATAGCATTCCTATACTCAAACAACAAAATCACAGAGAGGGAAATAAGAGAAACTGGACTATTCACATTAGCAAGCAAAAAATGAAATATTTAGGAATTACTCTTATGAAAGAAGTGAAAGACTTATACAGTGAAAACTATAATACACTGAAAAAGGAAATTGAAGATGATCTCAGAAAATGGAAAGACATCCCTTGCTCATGGATAGGAAGAACAAACATTGTGAAGATGGCTATTCTCCCAAAACTCTTATACAGATTCAATGCAATCCCAATAGAAATACCATCAACATACCTTATAGATCTAGAGAAATCACTCCTAAATTTCATCTGGAACCAGAAGAGACCTAGAATCGCAAAGGCAATTCTAAGCATCAAAGACAAAGCAGGAGGCATCACAATCCCTGACTTGAAATTATACTACAAAGCAACAGTAGTAAAATCAACATGGTATTGGAATCAAAACAGAGCTGAAGATCAATGGAATAGATTAGAAGATACAACCACAACTACAAACACACTCAACCACCTTATCTTTGATAAGGAGCCAAGCAGGTTCACTGGAAGAACGACAGTCTCTTTAATAAATGGTGCTAGAAAAACTGGCTCTCCATTTGCCGAAAACTAAAGCTAGACCCATGTCTATCACCATGTACTAAATTAAAATCTAAATGGGTCAAAGATCTGAATATTAAAACAGAAACACTAAATCTATTGGAAGACAAATTGGGTAGAAACCTTGGAGACATAGGAGTAGGTAGAGAATTCATGAACAGGACTCAAACAGCACGGGAAATACTTCCCAGAATCAATAAATGGGACCACTTCTTTTTAAAAAGTTTCTGCATGTCAAAAGAAATCTCCAGCATAGTGAAAAGAAAACCCACAAACTGGGAAAAGATTTTAGTGAACTCTCTCTCAGACAAGGGACTCTTGTCTAAAACATATAAAGAATTAAAAAAACTCAGACCTCCAAAATTCAAAGATCCAATCCAAAAATGGGCATCTGAGATGAACACGCAATTCTCAGGTGAAGAAATGCAAATGGCAAATAAATACATGAAAAAATGCTCATCATCATTGGTCATTAGAGAAATGCAAATTAAAACCACACTGAGATACCATCTCACTCCTGAAAGAATGGCCAGGATCAAGAAAACCAACAACAACAAATGCTGGAGAGGCTGTGGGGAAAAAGGAACTCTCCTGTACTGTTGGTGGGAGTGTAGACTGGTACAGCCTTTGTGGAGGTCTGTCTGGAGGTTTCTCAAAAAGTTGGGATTGGAAATCCCATTTATTCCAGCTATTCCACTTCTAGGCATATTCCCAGAAGAACTGAAAGCATCATACCACAGTGATTTATGTGCACCTATGTTTATAGCAGCACAATTTGTAATCGCCAGATCTTGGAAACAACCCAAGTGTCCATCAACTGAGGAATGGATAAAAAAGTTGTGGTATTTCTATACAATGGAATATTATTCAGCTATAAAGAACGATCACATTGAGATATTTATCAATAAATGGGCGCAGCTTGAGACCATACTCATAAGTGAAATAAATCAATCTCGCATGTATGAATACCGAATAGTTTCCCTAATGTAAGTTATGATTCAAATATATAAACATATGTGGTAATAATGATTCCCCATTATGTGGCCTTGAAGCCTTATGAAATTTTCACTTATTAATTAGAAAGGCTTTATTCTGGGCTTCTTGATATGGAAATATTTGAAGCTATAGTATATGAAGTTTTATCCAAATATTTCAAGGAAAAAGACAGACACTATGGTAACTACTATTCTTTAAAAAAATTATTTAGTTATTTCTTATGTTTATTTTAATTAAGGGAAAAATTAAAAAAATTACGATATATGATAGTAACTCTTTTCGATTTCCTATTAACTTGTTTTGAAGTCCTGTAATACTCCCACGATCTTGTTTTGACTATTAGACTCTGTTCCATTCTGTGCGATAGTATCAAGTCTGAGGGTATAGGCAACTACTTTGAAGGCAATAAGATTCACAAAGATGCCCATTCTGGTTTGACTATTGTCTCCTTTGGAAGTCCTGTAATGTTTACAATGCCTGAGTTTTATTGGTCTTGTTGTCTACTGTTTTGTCCAACTTTATAATATCTAATGAGATAGACAAATCTTTTTAAGGAAACAAGAGACAACGTTGATAACCATTGTTAATAACCTTGAACTCTGTTCTACATCATGTGCTATGTCTATCCTTGGTTTTGACTGACAGCTTTGTTTTGCCATATTTGACTTTATTCTCTCCCCCCCCCAAAAGTAATAAGAACTAAGGAGTAATAAAATCCAAAATGTGTAAATTTTGTTGTAAAAAAGAGAGGGAGGAAAAAAAAAGAGCTCTAACGGACATAACAGCAAGTGTGTTTAGAGGTGTTAAATAGCTGACTATATTAATGGTTTTGGATCATTGAACACAGCTGTTTGCAGTCTCTCTGTTTGAATGTCTACTTTGTATTCTTTGATACTGTGATTTGAGCAACTATCTCCAAGATGATAATATGTAATCTATTAACAGGTGATTTCTTACTGTTATTTTTTTTTTGTAGTTCTGTATTATGTGTAACCTTACACTGCTTTGTTTTGTTTTGTGTTTTTCTCTTTTTCCTCTTAAATAAAAAAAAGTAATTTATACTAAAAGCTAGCCTGAAACTCATTGCAATCTTCCCATCACAGCCTCCCAAGTGCTGGGTTTAGAGGTGTGTGCCCCACGTCCAGCTAATCCTACTAGATGAAGTTTCTTTTCTGTTGTCTGCAGAAAGTAATGGCTGAACATGATCCCCAGTACCTCATTGAGCTGGATGGAAATAAGTCTCCCGAAGAGCTCTTCATGGTGAGTTCAGTGTTTAGTAAGAATATCTTAGCTGTAAAAATTTAAAGCTTTTGATAATATTGTATCTATCTCAATAAACAGTAATATATTTACATTTTAACACCATTAATTTTGAAAAATTTCTTTTGACTTTAAGATTTAATGTTATATTTATTTATCTATTCCTACTTAAACCAAACCTACATTTGAATTTAAAACTCCTGCCTCAAAGAAAAATAAAAGCAAATAGAAACCAGGAAACACATGGTAAGATGCTTAACATCATTAGTCATAAGGGAAATGTAAATCAAAACCAGAATGGGATATCATGTGACACTCACTAAGATGGCTGAAACTAAGACAATAAGAAGTGTTGATAAAGATAGAGAAAAATTGGAGCCTAAAAATATTTTATAAAAATACAGTAAGTCTTCTTTAAGCACCTAAGTATCTGGCATTCAGTATGATAAATTCTTAGGATATAGATGGAAAAGAGGCTATGAGTCCTTATCCTTGTAATACTCAATGTATTAGGGAAAAATCAGTACTTAAATGGAGGTCTAAGCTAAAGTAGACAAGTACAAGGTATTATAGGATCTCATGACAGATGAAGCAGTCTGGCAAGGAGGACCAGATGTCTGAAATTTCACTTAGAGAAATAGTAAGAATTAGGCCTTGAAGTTTAGGGCAGGCATGGGTGAGTCAGAGTTCTGTCCTGAGCACAGAATCCATGCAAAGGCCCAGGATAAAAAAGTGGGAGAAATGGGACTAGAAGAGTGGAATCATGTCAAGACTCTGGACAATGGTTAACAGCTGTGAAAGGTTTTAAACCAGAGTGTGAAAATGATACTCTTTCCCTTTAAAAACAAACTCAGACTTTAATGTTAAAAAAAAGTGAATAAAATTGTGGTGGGAAGATTATTTCTGGCTTTTGCAGTCATCCAGGTAAAAGATGGTGGTCTAACATAGAGTAGGGATCCTAGAAATGGACAGAACAGGTCTGAGAGAGATTTTAAAAGCCAACATGATAAGACTTGGAGAGTAATATAATCTAGAAATTAGGAAGAGAAAAGTCAAAGATAAGATTTCTGGCTGGTGATGAATTGTTAACAGTGTTAATGATGGAGCTACTTTTAAGGAAAACCTCCTCCCTGGAGATGTGCTCTTGCCAAGATTACCAGTGATCACCTTGTGACCAAAGCCACTGCTCAGTTTCAGTCTTCATCTTAATCTAGAAGCAGCATTTTATGTCTTCTTCCTGCTCTCTCCTTCCCTTGGCTTCTGAGACCTGTGCCACAGTAGTTCCATTGTGCCTTAACTAGACATGCTAAGTCTCTAACCTGTACTGTTGGAGGGCCCCAGAGCTCAGTTCTTGTGAGCTCTTCTCTGTTACCCTCATACCTGAGGAGGCATCATCCACTTTGATGGTTTTAAATACCCTCTCAGTGCTGTAATATTACTCTTAGATTCTTTTTACCAGACTTTCCCCTTCAGTTCTGTGGTCATCTTGGATTCAAATGTGCAAGGCAGTACTCTGCCACCACTCACCCCAATTAGTTTCTTTCAGTTTTCTGCTTTTTATAAATATTAGCACCATCCTTGTAACTGCTCTTCTACCTGCTAACCCTCATATTCACATCTAGTCCATCAACATATACCATATGCTACTTCAAAATGTATCCTCTCTTTAACATCTGGAGCACATTTTAAGGCGATGGGGCATACTGAGAGGCTTGACTGAAACTTGTTGAGCTTATGAAGGCTGTATCTTGGAACAGGTACTCATGTAGATACTATTACTGCCACATTGCCACTACTACTGCCACATTTATCAAAGTAAGTTACAGTGAAGCTCAACACTGAGCAGTAAGTAAGTGAGCCAAACTCTAAATAGGAATTAACAAGCCAAGAGAGGGAAGGTTAAACTGTGAACAAATAACATAGTTCCTCTACAGACTACTATACATGGCTAGCATTTGTCCATTTTACCAGCTTTTATTTCAGATCCTGTGCACTAACCTCTTTTTTCCTTTTTCCACCTGCTTCTTATATCTAATGTCTATATTCTTTTCTTAGTGCTGCCATTATATAGTATCACCAATCAGGTAGGTTAAAGTGACAAAACTTTAAGTTTCACAGTTCTGAAGGCTAGAAGTCCAAAGTCAAAATCCATTAAGGACCATGCTCCTTCCAGATACTCCAGAATCCATCCTTGCCTCTTCTTCTTTTGGTAGCCTGATGCATTTCATGGCTAACTGCAGCATAACTCCAGTACCTACCTCCATCTGATCACCTTATTTGATCACCTTACTTTGGCCAAAGAGGTCATATGGACCTACATCTCAAGATGTGAACATTTGGGGCTCAGAGGGGTGACTATTAAAGTTATAAATGTGTCCCTCAAGAATGGTGAGTCAGGAGGATCACAAGTTTGAACTCAGCCTGGACAACTTAGTGAGACCCTGTCAAGAGAGACAGAGAGACAGAGAGATAGATAGATAGATAGATAGATAGATAGATAGATAGATAGATACAGAGACAGAGGAGGGAGACTGAGAAGAAGGAAAGAAGGGAAGAAAGAAGGAATGAAGGAAGGGATGAAGGACTGGGGACGTAGCTCAGTGTCAAAGTCCTGAGTTCAGTCCCTATTTAAAAATGGTAAAGTCCTAAGTTTAATACCTATGAGTGCGACCTTACTTGGAATTAGATAATCAAGTTAAGATGGAGTCATACTTTATCAGGTAGATCCTCATCCAATATGAGAGGAGATGAGACAGCAGAGGCAGAGACAGGAGTGATGTAATCCAAGCCAAGAAGCCAGCAGACCATAGACACCAGGAGGAAGCAAGAAAGGGTTCTAGCCTGATACTTGGAGCATGAGTTTGAGACATGAGCTGATCACATTTTTCAGAATGTTTAGATAGTCAAGTGACAATGTAGTCAAATATTTATTCTTTAAATTTAGATGGTAATGGAACGACTTAGATATCTGAATCTAAAAAGAGCGGCTGTGTTAACCAAACTTCAAACTGCAGAGGAAGAAGTTAATGACATTATGGAAACTGTAAGTTTCATTTAACTGTTTGAAAGTTAAACTGTTCAGTATCTGTTGTGAGCTTATTTTATATCATTTCAAGGTCTAAAAGGAATTTCAGGGATGTCTTTTATAAAAATGGGTTTGTCTTCTGGAAAATATCTATAATGTTAGCGTAGATGTTCTTTTGGACAACAAATACAACAAAACAAATTTCCAAATGGAAAAAACCCAATAAAATCAGAACATTAACCATAGGGACGATGAAAAATAAACAGAAGTTCACTTGGAAAATTTCATAACACTGAAGAAAGGAAAGACATAAAAACCCTCAACTATGTACTCATTTATTCATTCAGTCAACCAAATGTTTGGGTGTTCTCGGCACTATTGGACTGTGGATATGAAAGTAATCAAATTACAACTGCTATGTGCTAGAAAGGCTACAAAGACTTTTAATTGGAGTATGCTGGGAAGTTTAATTTTACTCTAGAAAGAATTTTTGTAGGAATAGAAACTGTTAAAAAATCAAGATCATAAATAGATATCATAATTCAAATAAACTAATTATTGAAGAAAGGTCACTTTTTATCCATTACCATATAATCTTCAGTAGGTCAATGCAGTGGAATATGATCCTCAGTATCATGAACTAGTGCTAAATAAGGAAGATAGGTGGGTACAGAGACTAGGAAAAATAAGTATATGCTGAACTTCCAGTGATTATGGAAGGAAAAATAAAAACCATCTATAAAACCTGTGGGATATTTCCCAGCCAGAAAATTTGCCTTTAGGATTTTCTGTATGTGAATATGTAGTGTGTTATAATTCCCTAAGTGTGTACCACTAATTGTACCTGGCCTTTTTCAGAAAAGGACAGAGATTGCCTTTGTGTTTGCTATGGTTATGTTCATTATTTATCTTTCCCAGGCATTCTTTCTCTCTGGCAGTCCACATGGGCAACATACTGCACATGGTGGAGGCATGTGTAGCAATCCAGAATGTTTAGAACTAAGACCTGTAAATGTCTTTTTATAGGATCCAGACAGATTCCTCTACCCAATTAAATTTAGGAATCTTTAATATTTGTTGCATTATAGGAACCTGGTTGATTAAAGTTGATTGATTTCCAAGTTTGTTCTGACTTGTAACTAGATGTCACCTCAAAACTTCATATGCTCATTAGATAGGCTTTGCAGAAGTGGCTGGATTGAGAGATTGCAATACTGTAATTCAGAGTGTGTGGTAACTAAATTTTTGTAGCATAATTGTGGGTGTGTGTAATGGAAGTTCCACTTTGGATGTAAGTGACTCCAATCAATAGGTGTATAGTGTGGATGGACACAAGGAAGGAAGATTTTTTCATTTGCTGTTGCTGCTGTCTTCTGCCTATCATTCCATCAGCTGTCTGTCCTCTGCAATATTCCTCTGTCAGGCCACCTATCTTGGAAGCAACTGATTTATGGACTGAAACCTCTACAAACTGTGAACCAAAATAAACCTTTTCTCTTTTAACTTTGGGTGTTGAGTATTTCTTTTTTCTCTTTTAAAGAGAAAAAACCCCACAATTTCAAAACATAATAATTAGAGGATAACAATAGTTAATATATTGTGTATTGTTATTTTTAAATTAATTATTTCAGAGTATAGGATATCTTCATTTAATTATCTAAGCAATATTAGCACAAGCCTTTCTTTTCAGTGACCTAAGAGAAATTAGTGAAATAACTATCTTAACTATCTTTTGGATATATATATATAATTTCTTTCAGCTGCTCACACTAGGGAGACAATGTGATGCTTACATATCTTGAGTGTGATTTATTTCACTTAATTTTATATATAAATGGATTATGTAATTTCTTTCAGGCAATTTTGTCAGCTTTCAATGGAGTTTTTAATTTCCTGGTAATCTCTTTGAATCTGTTTCAAGTATTCTAGGTTTTTTTTTTAATATTCTTCATCAAAGGTTTTCCTCCTTTTTAAAATGTTCCTTCATTCTTCCAGATGTGTCTTTTAAAGAAGTGCTTAGCATTTCTTTTATTAATCTTGTATCTTGCTTTAGTTGTATTAATATTTCAGTTTTGAGTTCATCTATAATGTCAGAAAGATATTTCTTTATGTCAGCTAATGCTGTGTCCAATATTGCATGTTTGCCGCCCTTAATCTCTTCTGTATTTACCTCTCCTGGACTGATATTCCCTGGGTTGGGGCTGGAGGCTTTTTCTTATTTCTTTCTTTTGTCATGTTTCTGGTTTCTTCTGCACAGGTTTATGGTGGAGGTTCCAGCCCTTTTCCTTATTGGTTATGGTTCTTCTATTGGATCCCATCCAGGGGCATGACCCAGCCAAAGCATATCCTACCCATCTGCTCTGGGCAGGGAGCAACCATCTGAAGTCACTACCATTCCTTGTTCAGGCCCATCCTGCCCAATACCAATATGTCATCCAGTTGGTCACTCCTCTCCCACAGGAGGACCAAATTCCGAGCACTCACCATGGTTGAGTGCAGGTCTTATGTCGGTGTTGTTCTTTGTTGGGCTCACCAACTCCTGACTTCAGCACAACTGTGGCTCTGGTGGTGAAAGCACCATGATTGTAAGCTCTCACCACCAGAGTCTGACCAGCTCCAGTGAGAGTGCTGTGACCACAAGTCTTACTGGCTCCTTTTTCTTTAGTTTCTTCCTGGTTCAAGAGGATCCATCTCCCTGTGTCTGATCTTCTCCAGGATGTTTTATTCTGGCATCTGAGCTGTTTCAGAGAGGCTCCTTATTTTGCTGTTTACTGATCTGCCATCTTCCAAAACTCCCCTAGTTTTTGATTCTTTGTGATAGTTCCTGTGCAGTTGGGTTTTTTTTTTCTTAAAGTCTTTGCCTACATCAATGTCTTTAAGGGTTTTATTTATTCTATCTTGTAGCAGACTTAATATTTCTTTCCAATATTTAAATCTTTGGTTCATTCCAAATTCAATTTAGTGTATAGTGAAAGATAAATTTTCAGTTTTAATCTTTGGCATGTGTGAGTGTCGGGTATTTTGTCTCAGTGATGGGAAAACCAACTTTTTTATTTTAAGGAGAATAAAACCAACCAAAGTAAAACAAAATAAAGAAATCAAAACAAAACAGTGTAAGTGATACAGGATTTCAAAACAAGATGATAGAAATCAACAATGGCTACCATAATGCCTTTTGTTGTCTTCAAAATAGCTGCCCATATCATCAGACATAGTAAAATCAAACAAAGCAGAATAGAATAGAGTCAATAAAAACAAAACAATGAATGCAATACAGGACTTCAAAACAAGATAATAATAAATCCAAAATAGAATATATCTGTTTATCTTTGAAATAGATGCCCATTCCATCAGATATAGTAAAATAAAAAAGACAAAACAATAAAAGTAAACAAAGCAAAACAATGGACATGATGCAGGACTTTAAAACAAGATAATAGGGAAAATGGCTACCACCTTCAGAATAGATCCTCCATAGATACTATACTGTGTATAGTTACTCTCTGAATAGATGATCAGAATACTGGCTTTAAGTCTGCAAAGTCAGTGAAACACTAAACACTACAAGCATTAAGTAGCTATCATCTCAGCCTGTACTTTTCCAGATCAGCCAATTGGCTCTTCTTGTCTTCCAGCCCACATGCTGGAAGGGGCTGTCCTCTTATTCTACTTCCCATACCCCAGACATGGCACTAGCCCACACGAAGGGACTGGATTCTTGTTCTCCTTCCCACAGCCTGTGAATGGCATTGACTCACAGTAAGGGGGTGGCATCTGGTTCTCCTCTCCACAGCCTTCACATAGTGCCAACTCACAAGAAGGAGTTGGATTCTGCAGCCTGCAAATGGTGCCAGCTGACAGGGAGGGGCTGACATCTGGTTCTCCTCCCCATGGTCTGTGCGTGATGCCAACTCACAGGAAGGGGCTGGATTCTTGTTCTCCTCCACAGCTAGCGCATGGCACTGTTTCACATGAAGGAGCTGGCTCCTTGTTCTTTCCGTGGCCTGCAAATGGAACCAACTCACAAGAAGGGGCTGGTTTTCCTCCCCACAGCCCATGCATGGCACTGACTTACAGGAAGCATCTGACTTCTCCTCTCTGCAGCCCACAAATAGCACCAACTCACAGGAAGGAGCTGGCATCTGGTTCTTCTCCCCGCAGCTCAAGCATGTTTTTGACTCAGAGAGAGGGGCTGGATTCTTGTTTTCCCTGTGGTCTATGCATGGCACCAACTCTGGGAAAAGTAACTGAAACAAAATTTTTCTGTGTTTTGAAGGATCTTAAATGTATGTTCTTCAGCTAAACCCAAGTGATTTTTAGAGACACAGTATAAACAGAATGTTTAAAGCAGTAATTTTTACTACATGGTAGGGTAATCCAGGAAATTTTAAAAAATATATCAATACCAACACCAGTTAAAACAGAATTTCTAGGATTGAGATAACACATTAACTAAAACAAAATAAAATAGTTTATGACATCAAAGGCAAGGTCAACAAAAGAAAAAATAGGTAAATTGAATGTTGAACAAATTAAAAGCTTTGGGCATAAAAGTACATAGTCAATAGAGTCAAAAGATAATCAATAGGATGGAGGAGAATATTTGTACATCATGTAGCTGATAAGTGACCAAGGTTCAGAGTATATAAAGAAGTACTACAGTTCCACCACAATAAAAGTTCTTAATTCATAAATGGACAAAGGACTAGCATAAGCAATTCTCCAAAGAAGATATACATATAAATGGCCAATAAATACATAAAAAGATGTTCAATGTCTCTAATCATAGAGAAATACTAATTATTACTGCAGTGAGAACTACCTCCTATCCATCAGGGTAGTTGTTATCCAAAAATCAGAAAATAAGTGTTGGTGCAGATGGGGAGAAATTGGAGTCTTCTTGCATTGCTGATGGCAGGTACTGTCTAAAATAGTTTAGTAGTTTCTCAAAAACTTAAGCACAGAATGTACTATATGATCCAGGAATTCCACTTTTAAGTCTGTCCCCTGAAGAACTGAAAGCAAGAACAGGAACAGATATTGAACTCCAGTGTCTATAGCAGCCAGCAGTCAGATGGCGGGGAAATCCCAATGTCTGCTAGTGAGTGAGTGGATAAACCAAAAATGATATGTACATATAATGGAATATTATTTGGCCTTAAAAATGAATACATGATATGTATTCTTTAAAAAGGAACACAAGGATACAGGATATAATATGGATGATAATTGAAATAAGCCAGATACACAAGATACTATAATTTCTGTTTTATGAAATATTTAGAAAAAGCAAATTTGTGGGAACAGAAAGTAGGATAGAAGTTACTAGGGGATTAGGGTGGGAAAACTGATTATGGGTAGAGTTTCTGTTTGGGATGATGGAAAAGCTCTAGAATGGGTAACAGTGGTAGTTGGGGGACCTTGTGAATATACTTGATAACACCAAATTGTACACTTAAGATAGTTAAAACAGTAATTTTAATCTATGTATATTTTATGACATTTAATAAACTAGAAAGCCTCCTTAGAACGTTTTGTTACACAGCGAGAGAAAAGACTCACTGATTTAAGGAGGCAAGAGAGGAACAAAGACCTTAGAGATTTTAGTTCTGGTGAGCAGTGTGAAAGCCATACCACTTGTCTAGTAGAGAGAAGGAAGTATGGATGGTGGGGATGGCATGCATGAAACTACAGCATTGGTTTCCAGTCAGACTGGCCTGGGCCTAAATTCTAGCTCCATAGTTACCAGGTCTGAGTGTAACTTGCATTTTGAGACCATAATGCTGAGATAAATCAGACACACAAGCTTAAGTATTGCATGGTTTCTTTTATATAAGAAACCCAAAGTATAAATAATTTAAAGTGCAAAACAAAAGATGACTAGGAAATCAAAAGGTAATCCTTTCTTAGATGTGAAGGGGATCTGGAGTGGAGGGAAAGAGTAGATAGGAGAGGGAAAGAATAACAAGGATTAAAGTGATGTGTATATACACTAGTTCCAAGAGATGAATACAATTATTATGTATCACTTACACTAATAAATAATCTAAGTGCTGTATGATGGGAAGTCCAGAGGTTATTCTGAGAGGCTCAGGTAGGTATGGTACTTGAAGACAGTGGCATCTGTACCAGCTTTCTGTTGCTACACTCAACTCCACCCAGCTGTGGCTGTGCCTAAGACCATCTCAAATGATTCTTTGGTTCAGTATACTTCAGTCTTTTGATGGAGACAGAAATATGGTGGGAGGTGGAGGAGAGGTAATGTGGACCGAGTGATTGGAGTAACCCCAGCCACCAGTACCCCCTTGAGATTTCCAGCTTTCCATTTCTGCTCTGTATTCAGCCCCCTTAGCAGTACTTGACCCCAGGTCTTTTCAGGATTTTTCAGAATGAATCAACTGGCTTCTTTCTGGTTCCACACCTGTCACATACATCTTTGCCATCACAGATACTTAGTTTTCATCTTTCTAAGTCAGGCACCACTCTTAACTGCTGTCTGGCTTGCAAAACTGTATCCATAGCTGGTAAGCTGTGAGCTATGACCAACATCTTTGGTCTCTTCTCCATTCTCTATGTACTTATAAGCTTATTATTTTCTTAAAAAAATTCTTTAATGATCATTTTACCAAAGTTTCAAAAAAGGATAAATACATGTGATCAATCTGTCTTGTTTAACTAGCAGACAGTCCTGCGAACCTTTATGACTATAATTTCAGTGTCATTGAGAAGCTGCTCTTGTCTTCCCCCAGCTATCAGAAATGTGGCTTGAAAGGGTGGGAACTTGAGGGTGGAATGTGGTCTGCTATTTCATCACTTTCTCTGTGTTTGAAGAAGTAGGGAAGAGAATAGAATGATGCCTCCTGACTTCTCTGGGGTGTTTCTGTCCTAGCTTATTGTTTAGGACTCTAGAGAAGACTGATTGCATCCACAGATGAGGTTCTCAGTCTTTTATAGCTGTTCTAGGCTTTGGTGGCTTCCTGACCATTGAGCTCTCCTTCCTGTCCTCTACCCTGTAGGCATCATCCTGCAGCATGTACCTCTGTGATTTCAGATACTGAAAGGGTACAGGCAAGATGATGGTGCCCATCTTATTCGATATACATGACCAACCGTCGAGCCAGCCGATGCATGTTCCACTCACATCTGAAGGGAGTTAGCCTTTCCTCTTGACAGTTTCCTACTGTGCCCTCTCTAGGGTTCTCTCCTCCCTTGCTGGGGTGGCATACGAACATGTGTGTAGTCTGCAGTCTGTAGACAGCAGTCTTTTTTTTTTTGTCTTTTTCTTTTTTATTGGTACCAGGGATCGAACTCATGACCACCTGCTTGCAAGGCAGGTGCTTATGCCGCTGAGCTAAATCCCTAGCCCCTGTAGACAGCAGTCTTTAGGGACAAATTGCTCAACATCTTCTCCAGGTTACTGATATGAAGGATTGTTGAGAGAATCTTCAAATTTTAAGAATGAAAGAAAGACTTATAGAATGAATAAATGCAAAAACTATTTTGTATATAGTATCTCACTATTTAAATGTGTATATATTAACGAATTGACTAAGAATCTGGCACATTTTAAACCTTTTCAATAAGAGTTTTTCAAACTCTTGATTTTTTAAACAGTGATAGAAAATGGTCTATTTTATGCTTTTTCTACCATATGATGGCAAATGGTTAGAAAATTTTAAGTAAGGTTTTCTTACAGAAATAAGTATTAGTCTTACTAAGTCTAGGACTAGTGCAAAATGTGGTACATTAGGAAAAAAGCCAAACATTGCATTGTAAACTATTTCTTAAATAGAAAAGCTCTATCAAATAAGAAATGTAATATTTAATACTCTCATTTCAGCAAAATTTACATAACATTTTTAAGTTTAGCATTTGTGTGTTCACAGGAAGAGCTGTTCCGTACTCTTGCATCTTGTAAACTTATTGCAGCAAGATACAAATGGCAGAGGAGCCGATGGGGGCGTATATGTCCTGTGGCTTTAAAGGAAGGTAACATTATTTCAGGATTACCTGATTTTTCTGTGAGGTAAGTAAGATTTTTCAGAGCTTAATTTTAAAACTTGTCCATATATGTTTTCAGTTGTTTATTATTATGGGATTTTTAAAGTTTTCTAGGTAAAATATACTGTCTGTCATCAGAAGAAGCATTAAAAACATTTTTATTGAACCCACGTCCCTATCTTCTTCCACCTATGCCAGCACCACCATGTAAAGTATTCATATTTGGACCTCAGTATTCAGGGAAAACAACACTCAGCAATTTGATTGCAGAATATTATAAAGGAAAGGTAACTATCATCTCTTCCTATCTAGATTATAATTTGTAGAATTTTATTTGTTCTCAATTTTCTTAATTTTATGCTGCCAGCTGGGTGATTTTTCCAATCGACTTTAGTGTCACTTGCAAATCATCATCTCTTTCTGCTTCCCTCATGTGTTTAATGAATTTTAAATGTGCTGGTTCTAAGAAAAGTCATATTACTACATGCTAAAGAACTGATAACAATCATATTATTGTTAGCAGTTACATAATGATCTTTTAACCATTTTACATTCAAGTATCATAATTTATTGCTTATATTTACAAATTGATTGTATTTTGGTTACATGATAGAATTTGGGTTAATATTTAGAGCATTTATAATTTTCCCATTTAAAGACATGAAAATTTATTTCTGATCTTCAGAAATTATGAAAAAATAAATGTTTATTTTTCTAAGCCACCAGGTTTTGAATTGCTATGTTATGCAGAAATTGGACAATGAATATTTCCAAAACTAAAGGTGAATTATATTTCATTAAAATATAAAATATCTCCCTGATAAAAGGCTTCAATTTTTTAAAAATGATATAATTTGAGAAAAGATTTTTGAAACAAGTATAAATTAAAAGTGTTTCTCGCACTGTGTACAATAGACCTTTGAGTTAAGACTGTCTCACATACAGACAACTTGGGTTATGACCAGAATTTTAGGTTTAACTTATGACCAAAGCTTTGAGTTATGACCCAAATGTTGGCCACTTGTGTAGTTGTAAACAGATTTGCAATGCCACAAAACCCATGCAAGCTTGTGTAAGCATCTGTCTGAGCCCAGATGCACATGTTTGTAGACATGGTTTTGGTTAGTACTTTATATAGTCACTATAATTACTGCTATCAAAAGCTAGAAAAGAAGCTAAAGGAGGAGGGAAGGTAAAGAAAACAGTAACAATCAAAAAGAAGGAAGAAATTGTGGAGAAATATGAGAGTGACATTCATGTGACCAATCTTGCTAACATGTACAGCATGTCAAAACCCACCATCTTGACAATCTTACAGAAAAGACTTAAGGAAGCTAGTATTGCTGAAAATGTTATTCAGATTAGTAAGTCACAATCAACAATAGAGGTAGGCGAGGTAAGCAAGGTAGAAAAGCTATTATTAGTATAGTTAAACAAAAGACAGATGGCAGATTATAGCCTATCTGTCTATGATTTACTTTTAAAAAGCTAAGGCTATAAATGAAAATCTTGTAAAGGATATAATACATCAATGAGTGATAATGGTGAAACATTTTGTGCCAGTAAGGCAGGGGGGTGTAACGAGGCAGTGCTAAGCAGCCAGTGCTAATAAAAGGGCTGCTGAAAATTACACTACTTTGACTTTTGCTCTAAAGTTTTTAAGCTGTGATGAAAATTCCCAAGAGAGTATACATTATCCAGGAAGAGAAGAAAATGCCAGGTGACAAGACTATGAAGGAGAGATTAACCTTACTGCTATGTACCAATCAAATAGTGATTGGATTTATCTCTCTGAGACCCCCAGAGTATTCAGAAAATGTAAAGTCATAATGAATAGGCTAGAGATCATGTGGAGATCTAATGAAAAAGCCTGGGTAACTAGGTACTTTTTCTTGAGTGGATCAGGGAGGCTGTTAAATTTCTAGAGGACAAAAGTTAGTTTACCATTCAAGGCTCTCCTCATCGTGGGTAATATTCCTGCTCACACTCAGGATTTGGAAGAAAAATTGTCTAAATTCCCATGGCTCTCAGTTGAGTGCTTCTCACCTACTACAACTCCTCTACTGCAGCCTATGGACCAACAGGTTATACCTAATTTGGTATATACCAAGGAGCTATAGCCCAAGCTATATACTAAAGAGCTGTTCCTGAAGTGCTTCTGGATAGTCTCAGATACATATTTAACACTTAAAAAATTCTGGAAGGAACATTACAGCATCCTTTCTTGTGTGGAGTTAATTGAGAAATCCTGAGCTAATGTCTAAGGACACTGAGACCTTTCTGGAAGAAAGTGTGGCCTAACATTATACAGGAGAGAGACTTTGAAAGTTGCATAGAGGAGCCTCAGCCTTCAATTGACTCTGTGATGGTTGATTTTGTCACTATAGCAAAGTCTGTAGGCTTAGAGTTAGATAATAGTGATCTGAGGAGCTTGCAGAGGAATTGTCTACAGAGAAACTTAAGCAAATGCTGGTTGAGCAGCAGAGAATGGCAGTTGAGGTGCTTTTCAAAGGGGTGGCGGGGAGTGTCAACAATCAGTGCAACAAATTCTTCTGAAACAAAGGAAATCCTGAAAAAATGAACAGAACTACAAAAAGTTGTAAAGAAGACAAGAAGAAGCCAATGATTGCATTTACTTACTAAATGACAATGCCATGTCATACAACAGAATTCTGATAAAGAAAAGACAGAAACAGTATTTAGTTCTGGAAAGGATGAGACCTAGTGAGCCAGAAGCAGGTCCTAGTGAGTTACAGACTGTCCCAACAGGAGAAAGGATACCAGAGAGCCATATTCTTGATATTCTTATGAAAGGGGACTCTTCTTCCAAACAATAACCAGCTTCCAGTTTATCCTCCCTTCCTGCAGGCCAAAGAATGCGTGCAGTATGAAATCGTTTCTTCTGGTAAACTAGGCACATTTTATAACTTTTTGGTGCATACACTAAGAAAATTATTGGCATTTCTGGTAAATTAGGTGCATTATACAAGCCTTTTTTTATTATGAAAAGATTATGTAAGGGATGCTTTGGGAAGTTTGAAATGCATTATGGGCATTTCCATTACTTATTATGGGAAAAATAGTCTTGATGTACTCTGGTTTCTTTTTAGATTATAAAAACAACTTGAGTTATAACCAGCCCTCATGAATTGAGTTCATAAGTCACGGGTCCACTATACATAGTATTCCTACAAATGACAAAGAAAAAGACAAAAAAATAGGCAACAGATAGCTAGAGAAAATCACAGAAGATAAGTTTCCAGTGGAAAAAGATTATGAGAAGATGCTAACCCTTCTTGGATGATAAGAAAACATGAAATAATAAAAAGATACAATTATTTACCCTTAAAAATGACTTTTGTTGCCAACGAGAGCATGAAAGAATGGCAAGTTTATAAAACTATTAGTAAAACTATAAATTGTTACCATCTTTCCAAAATAATCTTTAAATTCCATCCATGATGTGATCCATTGTGTGATCCTTGAGAGAAGGGAAGTTCAGGAGTTGAGCCCCATGATTAATGCCTACACCAGCAGGGAATGGTGTTTCTTCTGAGCTAAGGAGTCTGAGGCTGGAGTTCTGAAGCAATCGTAATTACGAAGGAGAGCTCTAGAAGAGAGGCAGCTGCTTGGGTCAGGATGGTGAGAAGCCTGCATGTCCAGAGGTTGGGCTGCACATGTGCTTCATAAGGCTTCTCAAGGCTCACTAGAGGATGTATCCTACAGGGTTACAAATGAAGTAGGGATCCTGGGGTTTGAGCAGGGTTAGGTCATGGGACAGTTGTGGTCCAGTGAGAAAGGAGAGAATTTATTAATAGCCAGGACCTCACACTGATGCACAATATTAGGATTAAAGATACCTGCCTAGTCCAAGGAATATTCCATACCCACCCTAATGGAGCCTAAAATGTCCTCAGTAAGATCCAGAGAATGAGTTTGGAGACTGAGTCCTGTCAAACTTAGAAACAGTTTAGGTTTTCCAAAGAACTTTGGATTTAACAAAGCATCAAATGCAACTTCTAATGTGATAAAGCAATAATTGAACTGTCTACTGGAACAAAACTCAATACTGACACTCTTTAAAAGAAAGTAATAGTCCCTAATAGTGAGACTCTAGTACTGTGTCACATTATCCAACAAATAATGAAAAATTATGAGACATGCAAAGAAATAGAAAAATATGACCCATATCAAGAAAAAAGAAAGTAGTAGAAACTGACCCTGAAATGAACCAGATTTTAGAGTTAGCAGAGACAGTCTTTATGGCAGCTTTTTAAATATGTTTGTGATCTTAACAAGAGAACATATTAGGAATATCATGAAATAAATTTAAATTATATTTTAGAAAAGAACAAAATGGAAATCTTGTAACTAGAAATAAAAAAAACTGAACTGAAAATTTACTGAATTAGTTTAATTGCTGATCTGAGTTTGCAGAAGAACTTCAGGAATGATCAAAAAATTTCATTCTGAAGCACAAATGGCCAATCAAGTATATGGAAAAATTAAAGTATATGTTCAAAATCTTTAACTCTTAGGGAAATGCAGATGAAAACAACTTTCAGATTCCATCTTACCTTAGCCAGAATGACTTTCATCAAGAACACAAAAATAAATGCTGGCAAAGGTATGGGAAAAAATGAACCCTCACAGATTATTGGCAGGAACGTTAATTAGTATAACCACTATGGAAATCAGTATGGAGATTCCTCAAAAAACTAAACATAGACATATTTGATCTAGTTAAAGCTCTTCTGGGTAATTTTCAGAAAGAAGTAAAGACATCATACTACTATAGTGTTGCATGCATGCTCATGTTTATAGTGATACAATTCATGAAAGCAAAACTCTGGAAACAGCTTAGATGCCCTGATGGGAAAAATGGATAAAGAGAATGTGGTATATGCACACATCACAATATTATTCAGCCAAAAAGAAGAAGGGATTCATGTAATTTACATTAAAATGGATGAACCTAGAGAACATCATGTTGTGAAATAATTCATAGTCAGATGTCACATACTTTATCTTGCATGAGAACCCTAAAATCTAAATAGATAAAATAATAAAATGAAGGAGAAATGATAGAAAATCGGAAGGTAGATCTCTGGAGATGAAGAAGAGAATTGGGGAAAGAGGAAGAAGGTGAGAGGGCATTAAGGAATTGAAAACGATCAAAATGTGTTATAGGTACGTACCAGTTCCCTCCAGATGAACATCACTAAAAAAAATCATCAGTAAAAAAAATAAAATAAATTCTAGAAGACGATATGGTGACAAAAAAACCCCAAAAACAAACAAACAAAAAAAAAGAAAGCATTTGCAAAGGACCAGGAATTAAAAACTAAAAAAAGAGGAAGAGAAAGTAAGGGATTAACTACAATGGAGCAAAATGGAAAGTTTTTAGGGTAATAAAGAAGTTCAGAATGTTGATTTTGGTTGTGGCTATATGTAAATATTTGTAATAAGTCATCAAGTTGCACATATAAATGCCTACCTTTTTGTTTGTAAAGTTGATTTAATTTGCATAGTTTTAAGTTTTGTGGTTTAAACCAGAAGATCTATATCTATATATAGAGAGATGGAGAGACAGACAGAGACAGAGAGACAGACAAAGACAGAGATATCCTGAATATAAATTTAATTTGTATATGTAGCATCTTACATAAAAAATAGCTGAATTTTTTATTGAAGAAAAAAACTAAACAATTAATGGACTTTGAATATAACTCTAAAGATACTTCAAGTAGTATCAATATATCTGACATATAGAAATATAGATAAGTAGATGACTAGACAGGCCAATAGATGATATATTTAGTATTCATAGTACATTTTGCTTATGTTGATTTTATCACATATTTTTTTCAGGTAGTTGACTATGCCACACTTGTTCAACCACGTTTTGATGAGGCTCGTGAAGCATTAATAAGAAATACTATAGCTCGGGCCACTGAAGCAGCTATTAATGTTGTGGAAGAAAAGCTTCTCACAGAACTACGAGCTAAAAGACAAGGTGAAACAGTTTTAAAAATATGTGTTCTAAATTTTGGTAAACTATTAAGCCTGGCTAGTTAAGGGTACAAACTTTATTTTGCTTATGTGGTAGCCTTGGCACCTTGTAAGTATCCAGTCTCTTAAAATAAATGGTCAAAGGAGTGGATATACATAAATTGATTCATAAGTAAAAGCTTTCAATTGTAGATCTTTAGGGAAAGGAATCAGAAGGAGCTTCTAAATTTGGATTTTTAAAAATTTTTTGAGCCTATGTACTGTACTGGTGATAGTGTTTATACTTTAATAAGAATCTTCCCAAATCTTGGGGAATTTGTTTTAGGTTTATATGTTACTCCTGTTTATAATTAAGTCTTTGCATTTGGGAAATACTAATTTCAAATCCAGAAAGTAATAATGCAATGAAAATGGAAGAAACTTTGTGCATTATCTTTACTGTTCTTGATAAGTTTATTCCTGCATGTTTTGTCTTTTTGTTGCTCTTAAAGGGAATCATTTTCCATAATATGTTCCAAACAGTTATTTCCAGTGCAGTATAAAGTAATTTTTTTATATAATCACATTCACTGAGTGATTTACTTAAATTCCCCTTTATTTTATATGCTATTTTTTAGATTTTCCTAACAGGAAATATGATATTTAGCTTTATACCTAAACTAGGAAGATGAAACTATTTAAATAGCAAGGAAATAACACTTTCCTATGTGGTAATACTGAGGTTTTTTTTTGTTGTTGTGAAAGAACATTATTTGTCTAAAAATTATGCCTGTCTTTTTAGCCTCAAACAGGTAAAAAAACCCAACATGGTGTTCAACAGATGTCAAAATGCAAAACAAAAGACTAGCACTGAAATTGTATGAAGATTAGATGAACTAAAATGAAATTATAGTTTCAGTATAGTATCTTCAAAATGAACATCAAAATTTTAAAAATACAATTTACAAACTGAAGCTGGAGAACTTTTGACCCAGAATACTCAGAGAGCTTTCTAGAACTATTAACCAAATGAAGTCATTAATTAATTCAGCAAATACTTGACCTACTTTGTATTAGACTTGGCTGTGGATACTATGAGACAGAGGTGGACAAGATCCTTGAAGCTCCCATCCTTTGGATACTTCATGTTCAGAGAGGGTATGGGAGTTTAAAAAAAAGCCCCATGAACAGATAGAAAAAGATAATACAGTAACAAAGGGGACAGTGACCAAAGCAGGGATTCTAGAATATTGGAATAAACTCTTCAAAGAGGAGACATTAGACTGAGACCTGGATCCAAAAGAATCATACTTGCCTCCCTATCCCAACTACCTGTTGTTAACACAGCCAATTATTATCTTTCAGCTGAGAAAACTTTAAGAGAACTTCAAAATCAATTTGGAGAGAAGGCATTTGAAGAGTTTCCAGAGTATGTGTCTAAAGGCTTAGGAGAATTGCACTCTTCAGTTGATGAAGGAGGTAAAGAAAAATATTGATGATATTGTTGGCTGAAGCTTTCCTAATACAAGTAGGTTCTTGACAAAGTGTGTTACCTTTTTACTGCAGCACATTCTCAAGAATCTCATAGAGACAGTGCTCTAGAGGACACATTAGAAAGCAGAACAAAGTCAGAAGATGCTCTTGATGATCAAACTGCTAATGCTGATAAAGACGGTAATGAATGCTGATGCCATGAATATGGATGTTATTTTTAAATTATTTTACACTTGATTATGTTTTTATTGAATATTAAAATTACCACAAAATGAAAAATTCAGAAGAAAACTAGCTGTCCTCTTATGTATTTAAGTAGAATAGCTATAGAACAAAAGTAGACTTACTTGAATAAAGAAGAAACCAGAAAATGGGGAGTCAAATACAAGGACAGCCCATAGGAAGAAAGTTTTGAGTGTTTCTAAAGTTATAAAATAGTTATTGTATAATTATAGATATTTTCTTAAAAACTCTCTGTTTCCTTTAATGTATTAGAATAAGAGCATTATAAATCCATCATTGTGATTGGTTTTTATCATTTATCCATTATTTGGTTTACTATTTTAAAATTTTCTTTTCATATTTTAACATAACTGAGAGAACATTGCATTATGTTACTTAAATTATGTAATGATGTATAGTATATCATTACATAATAGGTATAAAGTACTCTGCCTTTTTTACATGCAGCATACCATTTAATTATATTTTTTAATAAGGAAATATTTAACTCATTTTAAATTATTACATAGTTTGCCTATGAATATATAGTAATTTTAACCAGTTCTTTTATGTTAAAAATTTACGTTACTTTTTTTCCATATTTATAAACATTATTTTGGTGAATTTTTGATATAAAATTTTGTTTGCATGTCAATATAAGGTTAGGGTGTGAAGTTACTGACAAATTGCTGCATATAAGGCTGGGGAGTTAGATCTATGGCTCAAGTGTTTGCCTGGTAAGCACAATGTTATGAGTTCGAACCCAATATCAAAAATAAAACAAAAATTGCTTTGCATAAAAGTTGTTTCAATTTATGTCTTTCTAATTAATATACAAAGTACATGTCAGGTTTTCCTAGCATTTCTCTCATGTTAGTTTTTACTTTTTACATTTATTATTTTAATATTTGTTAACCTTTTCTTTTTTAAATTTTATTTAAAGAAAGACTAAACAAAACAGAAAATAGGTAGAAATAATACATACATTCAGAGAAAAAAACAAACAGTAAGAAATCACTAATTGATGTTTACATACTGTTTTACAAGTAGTTGTTCAAGATACAAAAATGGAACATGTAAAGTGGAAATTCAAATAGTGAAACTGCAAACAGTTCTGTTCAACTGTCCAACAAAAACTTAGTAACATGGTTGTCAATCCTATACACTTAAACATACATGGAGTCATCCATACCTTCATTTATGTTTAGATTAAACGAACTAAAGCAGGTTAAAATCATTCTGAACAAAGAATAATAGTATTGCTGGATTTCACATCATGACACTCCATGATCAGCACTGGGTACTGTATCTTTTTTAAAAATTTAATTTAAAGAAAGACTAAACAAAACAGAAAACAGGTAGAAATAATATATAATTTCAAAGAAAAAAATAAACAGTGAGAAATCACTAGTTGATGATTACAGATTGTCATCTTACAACTAGTTATTCAAGATATGAAAGTGGAGCTTATGAAGTGGAGATTCAAACAGTGAGACTGCAACCAGTTCTGTTCAACAATCCAACAAAAACTTAGAAATATGGTTATCAACCCTATACACTTAAACATACATGCAGTTATTAATCTCTTCAATTAATGTTGAGATTTAATAAACCCAAGCAGGCTAATATCACTCTGAACAAAGAATAATACTATTGCTAGGTTTCATTTTATGACACTCCAGGATCAGCCCTGGGTATTTTAGTGTCTCTTTTTCTTCAAAGTATCTGTTCATTTCATCATGTATCATATGTTCAGTTCTCATAAACTGTTTATAGATTCTACACATGCACGCGTCTTAACATGTATTTCTATTCTTTCTATATTAGAGGGAGAAAGAAAACAAAGCAAGGCAAAAGAAAACATATTCCTATAAACACATGAAATGAAATAAACATATAAGACTGCTGTTGCACAAATCATTCTTCCTGTGTTGTCTCTTGTTATCTCCAATAGAATTGGCTATATCATCAGACATAGTATAATTGAATATGTTGGTATATAACAGTATTAATAAAAACACAACTTTGTATATATATAGAACTTCAAGAACTGGCAGTTATCATAGAGTCTTGTCATCTTCAGTGTAGTTGCCTATACTCTCAGACTTGATACTATCAATCATATCAGTTTTGAATAAAATCTTCTCTGCCTCATTTCTGTTATGCTCTTTTTTTGCCATCAGTTGTCTGCTTATCTTCATTCTGTTTTCTGCTCCATTGAGGATTCTCTGCCACTGTTCCTGGAGATCTAGGACTTTTTTCTCTCTCTATAATGCCATGGAGTATTCTCTTTTTTTTTTTTATTTAAGAGGAAAAAGAGAAAAACACAAAACAAACCAAAGCCATGGAGTATTCTCTGTAGAGTTGGATTGGTGGTTGTAAATTTCCCAAATTCCTCTTTGTCTTGGAAGTATCTTGTTTCTCCCTTTATTTCTTTTCTTTAAAATTTTATTTAAAAGGAAAAAGAGAAAAAACAAAACAAAACAAAGCGGTGTAAGGGTACAAGTAATACAGAACTACAAAAAAAAAACCATTAAGAAATCACCAGTTAATAGATTACACATTATCGTCCTAGAGATAGTTGCTCAAGTCACAGTATCAAAGCATACAAAGTGAATATTCAGAGAGAGAGACTGCAAATAGTTGTGTTCAGTGGTCCAACCAAAAACATTAATATGGTCATCTGTTTAACACCCCTAAACACACTTGCAGTTGTAGCCTTTAGAGCACTTTTTTCCCTCTCTTTTTTACAACAAAATTTACACATTTGGGGTTTAATTACTCCTTAGTTCTTATTACTTTTTCTTTGGAAGAGAATAAAGTCAAATATGGCAAAACAAAGCTGTCAGTCAAAACCAAGGATAGACATAGTACATGATGTAAGAACAGAGAACAAGGTTATCAACAATGGTTACCATAAGGTCTCTTGTTTCATTAAAAAGAATTGTCTATCTCATTAGGTATTATAAAGTTGAACAAAACAGTAGAGAACACGACCAATAAAACTTAAACATTGTAAACATTACAGGACTTCCAAAGGAGATAATAGTCAAACCAGAATGGGCATCATAGTGAATCTTATTGCCTCCAAAGTAGTGGCCTATACTCACAAACTATCATACAGAATGGAACAGAGTCTAATCAGTCAAAACAAGATAGTGGGAGTATTACAGGACTTCAAAACAAGTTAATAGGAACTCAAAAAAAGTTACTATAATATATGCTAATTTTTAAAATTTTTCCCCTTAATTAAAAAAACCATAAAAAATAACTAAATAATTTTTTAATGAATAAAGGAGAGATTGAGATAAAAAAGGACATAACAACATAACTATACAGGTCAAAGCATGACTGTTTCAGCAACATAGTGCTTCACCACCAAATAACCCAATTTAATAGTAGTTACCTTAGTGTCTTTTTCCTTGAAATATTTGAATATAACTTCATATACTATAGCTTCAAATATTTCCATATCAAGAAGCCCAGAATAAAGACTTTCCAATTAATAAGTGAAAACTATATAAGGCTTCAGGGCCACATAATGGGGACTCATGATTACCACATACTTTTATATATTTGAATCATTACTTACATTAGGGAAACTACTCGGTATTCACACATGTGAGATTGATTTATTTCACTTATGAGTATGGTCTCAAGCTGCGCCTATTTATGGATAAATATCTCAATGTGGTCCTTCTTTATAGCTGAATAATACTCCATTGTATAGAAATACCACAACTTTTTTATCCATTCCTCAGTTGATGGACACTTGGGTTGTTTCCAAGATCTGGCGATTACAACTTGTGCTGCTATAAACATAGGTGCACATATATCACTGTGGTGTAATGCTTTCAGTTCTTCTGGGAATATGCCTAGAAGTGGAATAGCTGGAATAATTGGGACTTCCAATCCCAGGTTTTTGAGGAATTCTCCAGACTGACCTCCACAAAGGTTGTACCAGTCTACACTCCCACCAACAGTGCAGGAGAGTTCCTTTTTCCCCACAGCCTCTCCAGCATTTGTTGTTGTTGGTTTTCTTTATCCTGGTCATTCATTCAGGAGTGAGATAGTATCTCAGTGTGGTTTTAATTTGCATTTCTCTAATGACCAATCATCATGAACATTTTTTCATGTATTTATTTGCCATTTGTATTTCTTCATCTGAGAAGTGCGTATTCATCTCAGACGCCCATTTTTGGATTGGATCTTTGAATTTTGGGGGTCTGAGTTTTTTTAATTCTTTATATGTTTTAGACAAGAGTCCCTTGTCTGACAGAGAGTTCACTAAAATCTTTTCCCAGTTTGTGGGTTTTCTTTTTACTATGCTGGGGATTTCTTTTGACATGCAGAAACTTTTTAATAAGAAGTGGTCCCAGTTATTGATTCTGGGAAGTATTTCCTGTGCGGTTGGAGTCCTGTTCATGAATTCTTTACCTACTCCTATGTCTCCAAGGCTTCTACCCAATTTGTCTTCCAATAGATTTAGTGTTTCTGTTTTAATATTCAGATCTTTGACCCATTTAGATTTTAATTTAGTACATGGTGATAGACATGGGTCTAGCTTTAGTTTTTGGCAAATGCAGAGGCAGTTTTTCCAGCACCATTTATTAAAGAGACTGTCGTTCTTCCAGTGAACCTGCTTGGCTCCTTATCAAAGATAAGGTGGTTGAGTGTCTTTGTAGTTGTGGTTGTATCTTCTAATCTATTCCACTGATCTTCGGCTCTGTTTTGATTCCAGTACCATGTTGATTTTACTACTGTTGCTTTGTAGTATAACTTCAAGTCAGGGATTGTGATGCCTCCTGCCTTGCCTTTGCTGCTTAGAATTGCCTTTGCTATTCTAGGTCTCTTCTGGTTCCAGATGAATTTTAGGAGTGATTTCTCTAGATCTATAAGGTATGTTGACGGTATTTTTATTGGGATTGCATTGAATCTGTGTAACAGTTTTGGGAGAA